GGCAGGTCCGGGCTGGGGATTCGAACCCGCCACCTTAGGTGTACGTGGCTGGCGCCTTAGCCGGTTGAGCTATAGGCGCCGAGCCTAGAATCTCTTCTAATCACTACATAGACTCAGTGAAGTTGATATTATCTCTGTTTTATAGATAAGTAAACCAAGGCTCTGGTGGAATGACTTGTACAAGGTCATGTCAACAAAACTAGAATTAAGGTGGAGCACAGTGCCTCACACCTGTAATCCTAGCACTCTGTGAGGCTGAGGTAGGAGGATCCCTTGAGCTCAGGAATTCAAGACCAGCCTGAGCAAGAGTGAGACCCCATCTGTACTAAAAATAGGAAAAATTAGCTGGACATCGTGGCGGGTGACTATAGCTTCAGCTACTCTGGAGGCTGAAGCAGGAGGATCACTTGAACCCAGAAGTGTGAGACTGCTGTGAACTAGGCTGATGCCACTGCATTCTGGCCTGGGGCAACAGAGTGAGACTCTGTCTCAAAAAACAAAAACAAAACTAAAAAACCCAGTAGAATTAAAATTAAGGTATTTTTATTGTAAATCCAGTGTTCTTTGCACTGTATGCTGTCGTCATGAGATTCCAGCTAGAGCATCTTAATTTGTTTTGACAGAAATGTGTGTACTGATAGGAGTATCCTGAATGACCCTGTGTGGCCTGTCTTAAGCCTTCTTAAGGCCAAGTAAGGTGAAGTCCCCTGAGCTGAAGGATGTTAACACCATAAGAACTTTAAGATATCCAAGCTGGTGGTGAAGCAGTTCCCAAGTAACTCCTCGAAGACTTTGACTTCTGTGCAGGGAGCTTTTTCTTTCTTTTTTATTTTTATTTTTTGAAACATAGTCTCACACTGTTGCCCTGAGTAGAGTGCTGTAGCATTACAGCTCACAGCAACCTTAAAATCTTATGCCTAAACGATTCTCCTGCCTCAGCCTCCCAAGTAGCTGGGACTACGGGCACCCACCATGACGCCTGGCTATTTTTTGGTTGCAGTTGTTGTATAGCTGGCCCCAGCTGGGTTTGAACCCACCAGCCTGGGTGTATGTGGCTGGAGCCCTACCCACTTAGCTACAGGTGCTGCCAACCAGGGGCTTCTTCTTTGTCTGGTGCCTGTCACATCACTGGTGACTTTTCTATTCCTGTGGATATCCCATCGAACATGTTGGGTTGAGGGTGGCTTCAGGGTTTCTTGACCTCTTCTACTCAGGGACCCTTCTCTGCTCTATTCTGAGCCTCTTCTCAGCCACTCACATGCACAGCCATGCTCTGAATTCCAGGGCCTAGGCACACTCCTTGTCATGGACTGTACCATACCGGAACTTTTAAGCATCTTGCCCTCATTTATCTTCTGACTCTACCCTCCTAACCTTCCAGCCCTCTGAGGGCCTCACTCCTGCTATACCCCACCATGTCTCCTCCTTGAGCTCATGGTGGCCTCCCTTCCTTCAAGCTGCTTGTTTCTTCTAGGACAGTTATCTTCTCCTCGCTGGCCTTCCCTCCCTGACCCAAGAGTGTGGTTGGTCTTCTCTTGCCAATACTTCAAGCCCCTGTACCCACTGTCCTCAGTCATATAATTCACTTTCTCTACTTCTGCAGGTGGGTGTCTGGGAGATGTAGAAAATAATGAAACTGCACAATGATATCACTATACATGTCTGGTTTCTTGGTGAAAAGTTAGGATTTAAGGAAAATTGAGGGCCGGGCGTGATGGCTCACGCCTGTATTCCTAGCACTCTGGGAGGCTGAGGCAGGTGGATTGCCTGAGTTCACAAGTTCAAGACCAGTCTGAGCCACAGTAAGACTTCCTCTCTAAAAATAGCCAGGCGTTATGGCAGGCACCTGTAGTCCCAGCTACTTGGGAGGCTGAGGCAAGAGAATCGCTTAAGCCCAAGAGTTTGAGGTTGCTGTGAGCTGTGACACCACAGCATTCTATTGAGGGTGACAAAGTGTGACTCTGTCTCAAAAAAAAAAAAAAAAAGAAAAGAAAAAGGAAAGTGGAAATAGACATTTGTGTGGTTTTTAGGAAAAATATAACAAATGTAATGTTCAAGTACAGGTGTGCTTTGAAGATTGCTTGACAGTCTTATTTCTCTCTTCATCTCTCTTCCCGTAAGCCATTCTAAGACTTTATCATCTCTTCAAGGTTCCTATCAAAACCCCATACTCCTGGCTCAGCACCTGTGGCTCAAGGGGCTAGGGCGCTAGCCACATATACCTAAGGTGGCGGGTTCAAATCCAGCCCGGGCCTGCCAAACAACAATGATGGTTGCAACCAAAAAATAGCCGGGCATTGTGGTGGGTGCCTGTGGTCCCAGCTGCTTAGGAGGCTGAGGCAGAAGACTCACTTAAGCTCAGGAGTTTGAGGTTGCTATGAGCTGTGGTGTCACGGCACTCTACCTAGGCGGACAGCTTGAGGCTCCGTCTCAAAAAAAAAACAAACCAAAAAACCCCCATACTCCACTCAAGCACATATTCCTACTTTTCTGAAAATATTCACTTCATCAGATGTGATTATGTCCACTTCCTATCCTCTGCTTAAAAGGCCATCCTGCTTTCATCCTTCTGGATTCTGATAGGGGTCCTTCTTGTTAAAGATAAGTACCTTCTGGGCTATTGACACAGCCCCTCCCCATGACATCATTTACCCCTGTCTTCAAATCTGTTGCCCTCAGCCTTGGATATATACTCCAGGCTTTATTAGAAAGAAAATAAACCAAAAAACAAACTCAAAACCCAAAGCCCCTTTGACCCCTATTTTCTTCTAGCGCACTGGTCTCCCCTCCCTCTGTAGCTGGGTTGCCACACTCATGGGTTCCACTTCATGGCACCCCCTGCCCCCCATCATGCTGTTGAAGCCCCGTAGAAAGAGGCTACTCCCCTCAATACAGAAAATACTCTGGGTACTTTTTAATCCTTCTTTCCATGTTCTGATCTTTTTTTCTGCCTCTAAAGACCTTCCTCTGACTTCAATGATGCCACCCTGTCCTGGTGCTAAGGCCTCCTGGTTAGTCCTCTGCCCAGTTTTGTGTTGGTGTTCCCAGGGTATTCTTCTCTTTCTGCTTTTCTGGGGGAAGTTCAGTCATCCTTGTAGGTTAACTAATTTCCTTTATCTTTTTATTTTTATTTATTTTGAGGCAGAGACTCACCTTGTCATCCTGGGTAGAGTGCCATGGCCTCATTATAGCTCACAGCAACCTCAAACTTTTGGGCTCAAGCAATCCTCTTCCCTCAGCTTTCCAAGTAACTGGGACTATAAGCACTTGCCATGATGCCTGGCTAGTGTTTTCTATTTTTAGTAAAGATGGGGTCTCATTCTTGCTCAGGCTTGTCTCAAGCTCACTCAAACAATCCCCCTGCCTCACCCTCTTAGACTGGATTAATTTATATTCTGTG